GCCAATACAACGTACCTGAATATATTGGATGCAGTGAAAACAGTCTTAGAAGAGACATTAATAGCAGTGAATTCCTACATCAGAAAAACTTAGCAAGCTCAAATAAACAACTTAATGTTAAACCTAAAATAATAGAGAAAGCAAAGCAAGTTAAATACAAAACACATATTGGGCAGGAAATTATAAAAATCAGAGCATAAAATACGGCAACTAAGACTAAGAAAATAAAACAATGAATTATTCAAAGAGTTGGTTCTTTGAAAGATTATTTGCCAATGATATAACACTCTATACAGAAGACCCCAAAATCTCCATCAAAGGAATGCCAGATTTAATACCCAAATTCAGTAGCATAGCTGGATATAACATCAACACTGAAAAATCAATAAATAAGATTCCTATACACAAATAGCAAAATCACTGAGAGAAATTTTTCTATCACACTTTTCACTATAGCATCAAAAGAAACTGAAATACTTAATAATCAATTTAACAATAGAAATACAAAATCTTGGGCCAGGAGATGACTCGGTAGAATAAGCACTTCCCTGGAAAGCACAAGGGCCTGAGTTCAATCCCCGGTTCCACCAAAAAAAAAGTAAAAAATCTTTACATTGAAAACTATAATATTTTTTAAATTTATTTTTAGATAATACTCTGAAAGGGATTTAAAAAGATATCAAAAAATGGAAAGATATTCACTATTCTTGCATAAGAAGAACCAATAAAGTGAAAATGGCCATACTTCTAAAATTGTTAAACAGATGTAATGGAATCACAATCAAAATACCAATATTATACTTCACTGAAATACAGAATACAATTCTAAAATTTATTTGGAACAGGAAGATACCTAGACTAGCAAAAGCAATCCTAAGCAACAAAGTCAAGGCCTGAACGATTACCATCCCTGACTTAAAATTATACAACAAAGCTACCATGATAAAAATAGCATGGTACCTGGTGGAGGACACCTGAGCATCGGTGGAAGAGATAGCTTCTTTAATAAATGGTGTAAGAAAAGCTGGCTTTGCGCATGCCAAAGATTAAATCTAGTCCCATATATCTCACCATTCACTAAATTAATATCAAAATGGATCAAAGATCTAAATTTTAAAACACAAACACTAAATATGTAGGAAATCAGAATAGGTAGAACTGTTGAAGGCGTAAATATAGCCAAAGACTTTATAAACACAACACTGATCACACAGGAAATATTACAAAAAATCAACAATTGGGGTCTCTTCATATTGAAAAGCTTTAAACCACAAGACTCTTCACAAGATTGAAGAGAAAATCCATAGAGTAGGCAAATTTTTTACCAGATATTCCTCAGACAAAGGACTAATATGTAGAATAAAGAACTCAAAAATCAGACCTTTAAAATTAAAGACATAACCCCAAACTGGGCATTTGAAATGAATATATACTTCTCAGGTAAAAAAGTATCAACAGTAAATAAACATATGAAAACATGTTCCATATCACACTAGTCATTTGTGAAATGCAGATTCAAACTACACTGTAATTCTGTCTCACCCCAGAAAGAAAGGCTGTCATCAAAAATCAGTCAGTAGCAAATGCTGGTGGTGTTGTTGGAACAATGTAACCCTTGTCCACTGTTGGTAGGCGTGCAGACTGGTGCAACCACTATGGAAATCAGTGTGGCAACTTCTCAAAAACAAAAAAAACAAAAAAACAAAAAACAAGGGGTTCCATTTGACCAAGCTATCTCATTTCTAGGTATTTTCTCTGATGAATTAAAAGCATCATACCACAATAATATATGCACACTCATGTTTATAGCAGCAACTTTGTAATAGCTAAATCTTGCAAACAGACCATATGTCCATCAGTGGATGAATGGATGGATAAAAGATGTGCTTCTTTTTATAAGATGGAGTACTACTATGCCATAAAAACACATAAACTTGAGAAATTTCTAGGTAAATGGATGCACCTTGAGACCATTCCATTGAAATAAAATGGGCACACATGTTTAAATGTCACATTATTTCTTTGGTATGAGAAACCAAAAGTGTAAATAAGGACCAAAATATATGATACAGAAAAGCAGAAAGAAAAATGTTTAAATGAGAAGAGGAACTAAGCAGAGGGAAAGAAAGGAACAGAAAAGAGCCAATAGAAGGAAAAGTGAAAACAAAGCTATTGTAAGTAAAGAGGGGAAAGGGAGCTGAAGAAAGAGGGGATTGAGGAAAAAAAGAATTAATATATACCATGTAGAGGTACAAACTACCTTTGAAGAATGTTATCCTTATGCATATATAAAGTGTATAAAATTAATTATAAAAATTAAAACTTTTTTTCAATCTGAAAAAACCAAAACAAACAATATATACTTAGGAGTGACCATAGGTACACAAGAATATATGCAGTGTATTATTTGTTGAAACTGTACTTCCAATTAGATTTGAAACTGTCTCATTGCTATCTGTTTATAATTAAAACTTTTTTTAAAATAAAGAGTCGAAGAAGAACACAGAAGGAGTATTTTAGAGCATGTGAAACTGCTGGTATTTTCAGTGTCCTGGGGGAAACCATCAAGTGATTAAGGTATTGTAATAAACAGGTGGGAACAAGAGTTAGAAACATCTGAGTTCCTCCTGCTTTATAAGACTTTGTTTTACCCATGGGTTAGCAAGCCTGTCAAATACTGAAACACCTTTTCCTACAGACAAAATTATCATGCAACATAGCAACCACTGCTGAATTCCTATTGATTTGTTTGGTGAAGTTCTGCATCATTTCTCATGTTTAGGGGGATGACTATTTTGTATTCTCTTTAATAATAAGTACTTGAGTAAGTGATGGCCCAGGTCTACCTGAATGCTGAATAGCTCCTAAAGCAATACTAAGTATAACCTTTACAAAGGGTAGGATAGGGACAGTCTTCTGACTGAGTATGTTTGTGCCTCATTTGTTCCACTTGTCTCTAGTAATACTAGTTCGCAGGGGAGGAGGGGCAAAAGCAAAAAGGAAGATGAGTGACTGGGGCAAAACAGGTTATTACTATTGTTTTTTATCATGTCTATAAGAAAATCAGTACTATTTTTAAACCATTTTCATTTCTGTGTAAATTTTCTAAATATGAGTGGTGGTTTCTATGATCAACAATTTCTTTTGCTGTAGAGAGAAAACTGGACAGTGTTTTTTCTGAAGAGCAATCCTAGCAGTACATGGAATTTTGCACTCCATTTGGGCCTGGGTTGAGTCAGATGTGAGCCAAGAGCACCAAGTAGAGGAGGAAAATACGGACTCCTGGCCAGCTGTTAGCCCCACTTGAAATTTGTGCTGCCCAGTTTATCTTCCCCTCTTCTCCTAGAGGCATCAGCATAGGTAATGGAAGCAGCTGCAGGGAGCCTCCAGAGCCAGAGTCACATGTACAGTACCAAGATGCTGCCCATTTTTCTGTCAATCTTTGCTTTCCTGCAAGGTGAGTTTTCTTTTCCTGGCATCTCACTATTAGGGGTAGTGGAACAGTAGGGTTCAGTCTCCAGAGGCAGTTTGGGCTCTAACACTGTACTTTCCCCCTCACTGCTACTGCCCTGGATTGTATCCTCTGGCCAGCCAGCCACCCAGACTTGTAGTGGGGGATGAGTTACCTCTGACCTTTTCCTCCACCCTTCTTCCAATCAGTTGCCAAGTTAGAGTTCTAAAATGTCTCCAATTATGTTTTCAAAAGATATTCAAGGACCCAATTATATGTACTATTATTGAATAAATAAATCAGTATTTGTATCAAATTTCCTAATATCGTATTTCTTCACAATTTCAATTTGATTTAAGTATGTTTTGTGGATTGTCTGTCTCTCCTCCCCTTAATTTGGAGGCATTTTCATATGAGCAAGGATCTTATATGTTTGTCTCCCAAACAATGGCTGACACATGTTAGATAATAAACATTAGCTGAATGCACTCAATAAATCAAATTCTAATAATCAGTTTATTTTATTCATAAATGAATTTTATTTCCTTTTATGATTACAAATGTAGTACAAGTTTACTGTAGAGAAACTGGAAAGCATAGAGAAGTAGAAAGAAAAAAAATACCCATAATTCTACCACCTGGAAGTAAACATTGAGCAATGAGCATATTATGTTCTAACTATCTATGCCCGCTTAGAGACAGTTTGTCAAGAGTGATGGCCACTCAAAGCACAACAGCCAAAGAGAGTGAGAGTAATTAACAGCTGAGGCATCACCAGGGATAAGAGCTAGAGATTCCACACTGAAGGACAAGACAAAGGTCATAAATAATCCATCAAGAGATCAAAAGCTAACAACACAGGAACAAGTTAGCTCACTCTTAACAGTGTAATTAAATGGTGCTTGTAAGGAATTTAGCCCAGCACCTGTCACATGGTACATTATCAATAACTGTTAGCTATTACTATCACAATTATTATTATTATTATTATTATTATTATTATTGGTCAAAATGAGTGATTCAAGGTGGAAACTACAGCAGGGCATAGGCCCTGTAGACACATTTTAGGTGCTATAAGGAGGGGCACATTATGGCAAGTCTACTGGTTTAAAAGTTGGTATAGGAATATATATCTCTCTCTTTGTAGGCTCTCCTTCCAGGTAGAGTGAGATTAGGGTTTTCTCAAGTTTGCCTGATGATATATGGCAAGACACATGGCAAGTGTTTCTGAGGTAGGGAATGATTTCTCCTGCCTAGACTTCTTTCTGGACCAACAACAAGAACTGAACTTGATGATGATGGGAGTTCTGAACCTCATACACCATACATACATTCTTACAGTTCACACTCTCACTATTGAAGCAGGACACAGGCATGTGCATGATAGACAAGGTTGAGGTAGCCAAGTGGGGGATGAGGGGGAATGTGCCTGGATGGGCAGGTTGGAGGGTAAAGCCAATGAAGTTTATGATATAGCTTAATGGTATGGATCCAGGAGCCAGTCTTCAAGCTAGCAGCCAAGTCAGATATCATAAGAGTCTGGGGAGCATTACTTGTTGTTGGAGGTCTTCCGATGGTCTCTGCTCTGTCGAAGGTGGTTGTAAAGATCCTTTTGGGGATCTCTGTGCTCTTTCAGGTAGTAACAGCGTTTGGGAACATGATGATACTGGGACTAAGAAAAAACACCAGAAGTAAGAACCACACTTCCTATGAAAAAAGACATTCTACCTGGTTAAATTTGGTCACTTAGCAGATCAGAGAACTTACCTAATTTATTTCTATAAAGCATGACTGAGCCTAACCAAATCCCCTAGTGGCCTGAGTTCATAATATTCATGGCTATGTCTAGGATCTACTTATAAGACAGTGATGGCAAACTTTTTAAAGCTTTCAATCATAATAGCCAGTTGAGGCTTGCATGCCATAGGTTCACCACCACTACGCTAAGAGAATACACCCCTTCCCTTAGATTTGGATGGACTTGCAGTAAGTAGAGAGATGGGATTGAGTACATAATAGCTCTGCTACACAGCAGAAGGCTTACTGCTTTAATTATACCAGTTGAGATCTCAGTATCTGAAATTGCATACCACTCCTGAAAATAGCTAATATGTCCTAACTGCATACTCACACTTACTGATAAAACTTCGGGTAGAATTGTACTGTCTTGGGGTGTAATTTCTCCCTCTTGCTGCTTCCTTAGTTCCATTCAAAAGAGCAGAATGTATTTCCTATCATTACCTTATTTTTCACCTCTAAGACTTTGCATCTGTTTCCCCATCATTACCTCCTCAGTCTTCTGCTGAGAGCTCAGTTCATTCTCCATGGCATCCTCGTTATTCCGCTTGCAGGCTGTTGTTGGCAGAACCTGGCTTGATTTGCTTGAGGAGCCCATTTCCTTTGCCAGCTGGCATTCTATGTAGAGTGCTCTGTCTATCAGTTCTTTTAGGCTACCAGCCACGTTCAGGAAGACCTGACCCATTTTGGTTGTAACAGCTTCTGAAAGTCCCTCCAAAAACCTGGCCTGTAGAATGGCATCAGACCAAGACAAATGCCGGGCCAGCAGCAGGAAGTCAGTGGCATACTGCCTGACTGACTTCTTGCCCTGCTTGGGATGGCAAAGAATGGAACTGAGGGTGTCTACTTCAGATAGGGAGTCATATAAACCTTGTGCTCTTCTCATGAATGATTTATTTTCATCTGAGACAGAGTTTCCCACTTCCATCTGCAAGATGGACCATCTCTCTGCTGCACCTAGATGAAGTGACACCAGAAATGCCATTTTCTCTGAATCATCCAAAAATCTCCTCATTTGCTTCTCCTCATCAATGTCCATCTTCTCCTCCCCTGAGCATGAAGCTCGGACTGCCTCCTGCTGCTCTAAGAGGTAACAAAGTCCTGGAGTCAACATTCCAAAGGATGACCCTTCCTTTGGTGGTGGGTTTGTTGGTTCAGAGCTTCTGGCAGTCATGCATGGTATAGCCCTCGATCCAGAATCCTTTATGTTAATATGTGAGGTACATGCCTCTCCTGAGTCTGTGGCTTTGCTTTCCAAGGTAGGCATTATTCTAAAGGCTGTTTGTGGTGTGGTCATGGCTCCAGGGTCTGGGGCCCTCGTGAGTGATGTGGACATCACTCCAGAGGTCATTTGTGGCACGGTTGTACCTCTAGAGGCAGTGGAGCTCATTAGTGGTGTAGACATTGTTGCAGAAGTTGATACTGTCCTTGGTGACTTAGTTATTCCTGCAGAAGCTCTGTTCTTCTTTTGTGGCAAGGACACAGATCTATAGCTTACGACTTTGGTTTTCACTGTTGGCATTGCTCCAGGGGCCATGGTTTTCATCACTGGCTTAGACGTCTCTCCAGAAACAATGGCTGACATCAAAGGCATGGGCATTGTTCCAGAGGGTATGGTTTTCATTAATGGGTTGGACATCCCTCCAGAGGCCATGACTGTCGTTTTTGCAGTAGGCATCTTTCCAGAGGCTGGAGCTCTCACTAGCTCTGCAGACACAGCTCCACAGTCTGTGACAGTCCTTAGTGGTATGAACATAGTTCCAGAGGCCGGTGCTCTACCTTTTGGTGGGGATATCACCCCAGAGGCTGGAACTTGCATTGGGACCATTTGAGGTGTGGACTTCACTGTAGAGGCTGGGGCTCTCATTGGTGGCAAAGGCATCCCTCCAGAAGCTGTGGATGTCACTTGAGATGTCAACATCCCTTTGGGTGCTGTAAATGTCATTAGTGGTGTGGACATTGCTCCAGGGACTGAAGCCTTCATCTGTGCCATGGACGTTGTTGCAGAGGCTGTGGCTGTGACTTGTGGAACAGATATTGTTTCATAAACTGGGACTCTTGGAGGAGTCCCTGTTTCTGTAGGAGCCAGGACTCTCAGGGGAAGAGATCTCTCTCCAGATGATGAGGCCTTTTTGAGCAATGGTGACAACTCTCTGGAATCTGGGGCTCGTGCTTGTGGTGTGGGCATCAATCCAGAAGCACAGGACCTCATCTGTGTCCCTCCAGAGATCACAGATCTCATGAGTGATGTGGATATCTCTCCAGAAGCTTGGGTGCTCGTTGGCTGATAGGGCATCTCCCCAGAGTCTGTGGCTCCCGTTAGTGATGGGGAAATTCCTTCAGAGCCTGAGGCTCTCAATAGAGGCATGACCATATCTCCAGATACTGTAGCAGCTGTTTGCGGTGTGGACATTACTCCAGAGGCTGTGGCTCTTGTTAGCAGTGTGGACAACCCTTCTGAGGCTGTGTCTGTCATTTGTGGCAAGGATAGAGCGCCAGACGTTGCATCCCTCATTAGCACTGAAGACATTTCTCTAGAAGCTGAAGTTGTCATTTGCTGCATAAACACTGTTCCAGAAGGTTTGGATATCATTAGTGGCTTGGACAATGTTCCAGAAGCTGGAGCACTCATTTGTGGCATGGATATCACTCCCAAAGCTGTGTCTCTCATTAACAATGGGGACACTGAGCCAGAGGTTTGGGCTGTTATTAGTGGAATGGACATTGCTTCAGAGGCTGTGGCTCTCATTTGTTGTGCAGATGTCAATCCTAAGTCTGTGGTTCTCATTTGTGATACAGATACTCCCCCAGAGACAGGGGTTCTGCTTTGCTGTGTGGACACTGGTACAAAGGCTGAGACCATCAGTTGTGGCATAGACAATGTTTCAGATGTTGTGGCTGCCACTGGTTGTGTGAACATCAAGCCAGAATCTTGGGCTTGTATTTGCTGCATGGGCATTGCTCCACTGACTGTTGACTTCATAAAATCTATGGGCATTGTTCCAGAAGTTTCAGTCATAGACTGTGTTGACATCACTCTAGAAGCTGTAGTTGACATTTTCTCAGTGAACATCTCTCCAGAGTTTGTGACTGGCATTAGTGGTGTGGCCATTGTTGCAGAGGCTGAGACTGTGTTTTGCCCTGTAGCCACATTTCTAGAGGCTTGTGTTCTTATTAGTGGTGTAGATACTGTTCCTGCATATGAAGTTGTCACTGGCAGTATGGACATCACTGGAGGGACTGTTTCTCTCACTGGTGCAGTAGACATGATTACAGGGTCTAGATTTTGTATTAGCTGTGTGGACATCCCTTCACAGCTTGGCGCAGGTATCATTTGGGTGTGCATTTCTGTAGAGGTTAGGTCTGTCGGTAGCAGTAGAGATACTGCCTCAGTGTCTGGGGCTGGCTTTGTTAATGTGGATGCTTGCCCAGCCTCTGGGATGGACAGCAGTGCTGGGGACATTGATTCAGATCCTGAAGCTGACGTTAGTAGTGAAGACATGTCTCCACAGCCTAAGCCTGACATGAGTAAGCCAGACATTCCCTCAGAGTCTTGGGGGTTTGCTGACTGTGCTGATGTTTCTCCAAAAGCTAAGGCTGACATTATCAGGGAGGATATTGCTTCAGAGTCTGTGCCTGACATGAGCAGTGAGGATAAATCTCCAGAGGCTAGGGCAGTCATTAGTACTTTGGACATTGCTTCAGCATCTTCATCTGTAATTTGCAATGGGGACATTTCTTCAGAGCATGGAATTGTTGTTGGTTCTGTGGATATGACTCCAGGATCCATAGCTGGAATTGGGAGTGCGGACATCTCTCCAGGATCTGGGGCAAGCATTAATGGTGCAGACATTGCTTCAGAAGCTGAAGTGCTCATTATAGGTGTAGACGTTTCTCCAAATGATGAAGTTGTAACTGCCGATTGTAATAGCTCTGCAGAATCTGTGGACATTATCGCAGCAGACATTGTCCCAATGTCAGGAATTGTTGACATTCCTGGAGACATTAACCCATAGTCTGAAATGGACAACAATGGGGACAATGCTCCAGAGTCTGAGGCAGGCATTAGCACTGGGGATGGTGTCCTAGAATCCGAGGCTGGCATTAGCAGTGGGGACAATGTTCCAGAATCTAACTCTGGCATTGGCAGTGGAGACAGTGTTTCAGAGTCTGAGGTTGGCACTGGTGGTGAGGACGATTCTCCAGTGTTTGTTGCTCCCATTAGAAGTGTGGACATTGTGTCAAAGTCTGGGGACATTTGTGTGGATGTCCCTGGGTCTGAGGCTGAAGGTGAGACTATAGACAACTGTACATGAGAAGGCAGAATTTGGACCTCTGCTCTATTCTCTGTCATTGGTCTAGCGAAAGTTGTCCCCATGTTTTGGGGGTCCACATTTTCCTCCCTCAGCATACTGTTGAATTGCAGTGAATGTAAAGGTATTGACATATCTGCCATGGCCACAGGATACAATGGAGGGAGCCCCTAAAGTGATGACATCAGAGATCCTGATGAAGCTTAAGTGGCAAGGAAATCTGTAAACAGGAAACAAGGTTAAAGGTCAAAAGGCAATATTAAGAACATTGAGAAATAAATGATTCACAATAGAGACCTGCTTTTTGGGTGCTGTCAGGAATAGGGCACTGAAGATGGTGCCACAAGGAATGACTGAAGTTGGGGCAAATAACCGTTCTGCCTCTGTCCTTTGCAAACCAATTACTCTGTTGCACAGCACAGCACAGCAATGGGGTAACAGCCAGGGCAGGTCCATATCAAATGAGGGAGCACCGCCACCTACTGGCCACTTGTGAGAACTATGAGCTACTAAACTACGCTCCACCCTCCAGCAGCACTTAAACTACCCAATGTACTGGTGAACTTGGAATGAGAATGCTCTTTGCAAATGGATAATCCTTTGTTCGTGGGGCTCATTGCACTATGCCAGTGGTCTAATTTCCATTTTATTATTCTGCTGGCTGTGGCTGTACTTTTTAGGAAAGTAAGACATTTATGTGATCAATGATTGGTAACAATATGCCACAAACTAAAATTCTACTTATTGTCATCATCATTATTAATAACAACTATCACTGTAACTATTATTGATCGCTTACCTAGTACTGTATAACACAGTGATTTAGGTAACTGTGCAAACCTTTAAACTGCCACTATAAGGGAGAAAGGTAAATTGTGGTGTGCCAAGATTTGCAAGCATTATCCTACTTTAGTCTTACAATAGCCTATGCATTAGATATTGTTATTCCCATGTTATCAGCTTGCTCATATTAGCTAGGATTGGGGACTAAAACAGAGGCATTGTTACAGTCACAAACTGTATATCTTTGACTCTCCCTTCTAACTTGGGGTTGCCTAGCCTTCGGCATCCCTAAGGCTGCATTCTATCAGTTTTCTGACATCCTAAATTAGGACTCACAAGAAGCCTAGTCTACAGCATGAAAAAATTCAAGTTTCTCTGCTGACATGGGGATGGGCAAACCCAGAGCCTCACTGCACTGGTCTACCTGAGAAGCAGCCCTAGAAATGGCCTTTTGATACAAGACTTGGAAACCAAAGCAGACATTGCACAAGACTGACATGTCCCCACGGTCTGATCATGCCAAAAGTAGAAAAGTGACTATTGTAGGATAATGTCACAAAACTCATCAATCCCATGGTATTGTTCCTCCACAATAGTGAGAAAACTACCAATAAAAATACCAACATTATCCATTTCTTGAGCAGGCACTGGCTAGCAAGCACTCTGGTAGGCACTTTCCCCGCATAATCTCATTTGGTCTCAGCAACACTAAAAAATTTGGGTAGTCCTCTTTCTCCACCTCGTAAAGGAGAAAATTCAGGCCCAGAGAAGTGTGACAAAGTTTCTACACTCACATAGGTTCCCAGCTCTACAGAACTCCACAGCCCCCACTCTGCATCATCATGCCATCCCAATCTACTTTTCACCCTTACTCAGTCACATTACCAAGACCCTTCCCTCTGTCTTCAAGCTGGGCAACCCAAAACTGAAATGTAAGAATATATTGGACTATGACAAACACTCTGGTTACCCTCATATTTGGTACAATGAGAAATATGAGTCAAATGAATAATTATGAACCTCTATCTTCCAAAAAATCCTTAAGCATGCCCCAACTTCCCATAGAGAAAATTCAGAAAGATCTTACCTAGTCAGTTACTGAGAAGTGGGACTGAGTGTCTTTTGCACCTCTAGCCCTTTTAGTCTGGCTATTTGACTTACATCCTGTGTCAGTTCATTAAAGCATGAACTGATAGCAGCAACCACTCTCTGCAATCTCCCTTAGCTATCCTCCCTCATGCTGCTCCTACTCATCCACTAGTGCACTCATTCGACTCTTCCCACCTTATTAGTGCTATCTCGGGATCTCTGGTCCCAGATTCCTGCCTCTATATTGGCTCAGACATTTGTCTCTGGCTACCTTCAACTTGACAGTCATCCAGAAGCTCCTGCTGGTTCTTGGCCTATACAACTTTACCTCTCTTCTCTGTGCTCTTAGCAGTCCCTATGGCTCACTCTGCTGCCTGCCTCAAAGAGAAAAGATTGACAGAGGTAAAGACATGAGAATTAAAGGGGCTGTCACTCAGGAAAGATACATGTATCCTCTGCATCTAAGAAGACACAGGAGCCCTGAAAGCAGGGCACTGCAACTGGTATGACCAGGAAGCTGAGACTGGGCAGTAGAGGCTAAGGGGACATCCAAGATACAGCATTTGGAAAAACTCAAAGAAGCTCAGATGCAAGGCAGTCAGGATGTGAGAGGATGGGCAGTAGGGGCTGTGGAGTAAACACTTCAATTAAAGCCCTTCAGTATTGGTAATAAAAATAGCAACCCACCCTCACTGTCAGAGACATAGGATATTAGACAACCAATGTCCTGCCCAGGGCTAAGATTCAATACCATGGTTCTGGATTTTAAGAGCTAAAAGAAAAATTCTTACCAGTCCTACCAAGTGAGAACTGGCTAGAAATGGAGCTACAGTTTGTTTTCTAGAACCAGAGCAGGTCAGAGTAGAGATTGCATTCACTTTAATGGTAAAATTGATCCCTAAGCTCTAAACAGGGCAAAGTCTTCAGGTGAAGTTCAAGTAACCCATGTATATAGAATGAGACTTGGGGAAGGGGGCATTCAGGTCATTACACACCTCAAAAGTAACAACTAACTATAATTCATAATCAGCCACCAACCATAATGGAACATGTGGGCCAAGCATAGGGCGTGCATTATATCATCCCAGCAGCACCTAGAAGGTGGACACTGACATTGTTCCCATTTTACGAATGAAGAAGTGACTTTGAAAAGTGTGTGTTCAAAGACAAGGAGTTAATAAATGGAAAGGCCTGAATTTGTGCCTTAGCCACTCTGCTTCCAAAATCACTTTCTCTCTTTGTAGTTAAGTGATTAGAAACATAACACATTCTACTTGCTTCTGTCTGTGCCACCCGTTCAAGCAAGGAAATTCCTCTCTTATTATAAAGGGCTAAACTGTGGTACTACTAGTTTTAGTAGGAATACAAACTAACCTTGATTAAGCTTTCTGCATACATCACAAAGGGTGTGCTAAGGGCTTCATATGCATAATCTCACTTGATCCTTACAATTATCATTTCAATTTACAGATATGGGAACTGAGCCTCAATAAGAGGAACTAAAATACCCAAATGCATGCAGCTCTGTCTGACTTCAGAACACACTACAGAATACACTATTCAAAAGGAAACATTCCTAACGCACCTACAATATTTAAATGACAGTGGAATACCCTTCTCTGACAAAACTAAACAAAAAAGGGATACAAATGAAGGACCATTTTGTATCTGTATATACAGAATAGTTAGGATAAATATACAGCTTTCTCTTAATTCAATGAGAAGAAAGATTTGTACTAAGAGTGTTTGGACAGGATATCATGTCTGCATCTTGTACTATGGATAACCACTACGAAGACAACAATATGTAATGTATTAATTATTGAAACTCTCCTATTAATCAGTTTTGAAACTGTTTCATTGCTGTTTCTCAATAAAATTAATTTTTACAAAAGGAAACATTCCCAGGCTAGGAACATGCGTCAATAGCAGAGCACTTGCCTAACGCACACAAGGCTCTGTGTTCAATACACAAGAACAAACACAAAAAAAATAATGTTCCAGTTGTTTTTCCCCAGATCCTAGAAGTTATTCACAGAAAATTCAAGCTACTAATGTGTTCATAACAACTATTACAAATCTTATTAATAATTACAAATTATTAAATATTACAAATCTTATTAATAATTACAGCTAGCATTTACAGTGTCAGGCTCTACCCTAAGTGCTTTGTTTACAGTATCTCATTTGATACTCACAACATCCTTCTGAGGTAGTTGTTGTTATAACTTTCATTTTCCAGATGAAAAACGAGAAGGATAAAAAAGTTAACTAGCTTTCCTAATGTCACACAGTTTCCAATTTCCAAAAAGTTTCAAACCTAAACGCCTGATGCTGGAATACAATTTGTTTAATGATTAAAATGAAATCTGATACAATTATCACAGCCACTAATATAGCCACTGTAAAATAAATTTTAGTATGGGCATAATTTATAGTTTTTTACAAAATAAATGTGTATATTTTGCAAGGAAACAATAAAGTATTTTTTTCACAGCAACCACACCTGAATGGTGGGATTAGAAGGGATTTTCATTTATTTTTTTATTTTTATGTTTTATTTATTCTACATATTTAGTACAGGTTCTTATTACACAGATCGAACTTTGTCAATTGGTGCCTCAGTGCACTCCAGGGGCAGGGCTGGCACAGCAAGCCAGTGATTGAACCCTGGTCCCTGCATCTGCCTAAGCAGGCCCTTTAATGCACTTAGCTATCTGGTAGAAGGAATTTTTGTTTCATTTTATTTATGCATATGTTCTCATTTCTCCATAATTGGCACAGCATACTTTCATAAAAAGAAAAACATAAAAGTTTTTTTTTTCTTTTTTTGGCATCAGGGATCGACCTCATGACCTTGTGCTTGCCAGGAAGTTGCTTACACTGCTGAGCTGTCTCTCCAAGTGCAATAAAAGATTGGGGTTTTTTTGTTTTGTTTTTTTAAGAAAACATGACTCTTGGTGGCGCTGTATCTAACTCTTTACAAGGTCTTCCTGAAAGCTGTCACTAGGGATCCCTGCATACCCTCATCTAAGCCACAGACTTAAAGGTTCCATTTGCATCTTAGGTCACAAGTGATTTCAAAAAAAAGGGTCTCCAGTGTTACTTTCATTTTGTTCCTGTTTTATTTGTTTAAACATGATTCCTTATTTCTTCTAACTTATCTGTGTTTAGTAATTGTACAATATATCTAGGAATGTATCCTCAGAATATTAAAATACTTGAAATCCTCCATACAGATAAAACTAAAGTCCCAAGACTATCCCACACC